AAAAGACTGTGGAAGATAACCATAGACAAGAAGAACATGTTTTTGACTATTCTTCATGATGACATTGAGGTAACTGTATCTGTAGTCAAGTAATTTGATGGTTATACATGTCTCAGAAGAGAGACTGGTCGTTGAGTTGATTTTGGACTCCCAACTCCCAATAGGGATGCACAAAATATCGGTGGCTGATGTAATATTGACCAATAAGTAAGAAAATGTAATTATTGTTCGTATTGGCTGTAGTCAACCGAAGAAAATATTCAACCACTCAATAGGTCAATTGAGAAAAAAAAATCAGCTTTTTCTGAGTGAACTATATCTACCACAGTGCTTTCTACCTGCTAGCTGCTGGGTGCTCATCAAAGCAACCTAACATTTCCAAGAGAATGCATTCCTGTAGTTTGATTAATACCTATTCACACGTAGTAATATTGTTACCTTCATGGGATGTCTATCCAGTAAATTAAGATAAAGCAGCAACGTACACATAATGGTAAGGATCATAGTGCAAAACGGGCTTCCATACAACAGAAAAGCTAATGCAGTATAAAGCAACATGAAAAACAGTTACTGACATTCAACCTACTACTGTTATTTAGTTGTCTTCATATGAATGTTCACAAAGATTCTCTCTATTGTTTTTTCTCTGCATGTTCAGGTTCTGAACCGGGTTCTGGCCTGTGTGACTACAGCAAAGCAGGTCCAGTTCTCTGAGGCAGTTCTCACAGCAGGGAATGAGTGTGTGGGTGTGTTGCTGGCCAGTGTGGAGCCCTGTGGTCAGCTGATGGAGGCTGTTCTCACCTATGGCCTGGACCAGCTGGCCTGCTGCCAGGCCTGCGGCTCAGACTACAATCTAGCAGTGCTCAGCCTCCTCACTCTGGTACCGTCGCTTTTAGAGTTCATCTTTGTCATCTGGCATCTGAGCAGCCCAAACAAATCTGGTTACAGTTCTACTCATGTATGTGTAATGGTTCAATGGAACCTCGATGGATGAACCTTACTGATATTTATTTCTAGGAGGATATTCAGGTTTTAGGAGCATTCTCTGGATATTTTTCAGCCTTTTGTGCATTGTAAACAAACCAATGGTTTGCAAGGCTCTAGTAGAGATGCATGATAAACACATGACAGAGGGAGGCTGTGTTTCCACGGTCGAACAAGTCCGCCACTGGTGAAAAACTTTCAATTTGGCCATTAGGCAAAATGTCTCCAGCAGCACCAGCTGTTCAACTTTTACTACGGGAGCAACATGACGTAGGATGTGCATTACGTCATTAACACTTAGGTTAATTGAAGTACATCTGCATGTAAACAGGAATATTAGTGGAATATTCATTTTTATTAGCCATGTTAACATCGTAGTAGAAATATTGTCTTTTTCAGATTAAGGGCAAAACCTGGAATATTTTGTACATGTGAACGTAGTCACTGTCGATCCTTCCCACAAAGCCATAAAATATTTGGAGAGGGCTTCCAGACAGAAAACCAATATTGTACCAGTAGAGCTGTACTGCTGTTAGATGTTTCTTTTCTGTATTTTTCTATAACTTTTTTTTGTAGTCATTGTTGACATTTGCTTTCAGATTGTGGACCAGATCAACACAAAGCTACCTGCGTCCTTCGTTGAGAAATTGTTGGCACCCGACTCCCAGCTGCTGAAGCTGCGTTTCCATCGAGAGAAAGAGGTGTGTGAGTGTGTTGCCTTATCAAAAAACTGTATAGTATAACTAGGTAACATATAGGGCCATGTGCAAACACGCAAAGCTTGGTTCATATTTCCTATATAGCAAATACTAGGGATGTCCTGATTAAGTTGTTTTGCTCCCGATCAGTGATTAAATATTGAGTGTCTGCTGATGCATAGTTTCGATATTT